CAAGGCCATTCATGGCCACTTGCATCAGAACGGGGGGGCAGGGGGTGGTCTGTCTATTCCAAGACCCTCATATGAAGAAACTAGAAGCTAGGAGACCATTCCAAATACACGTGACCCACAAGCAGGCCACGCTGTACCCTTTGGGAAGATGGTGTTTGTTATTCAGACAGAAAATGACTTGTCAGACTGCATGCCGAGGCATTACTAGACAGCAAAACATCACCCTTATTACTCATAAAGCTAAATTGCAGGATATGGCTTGAACCTTAAGGCCAAATGAACTTCCTACACCCCACATTTACCACTCACCCCAAGTTACAAATCACGGGTCATTCCAAATGAGAGTGATTTGAAGGAGAAAACAGTATGTGAAGTCAAAGGCAAGTTAGCCTGCAGAAAAAACGCCAAAGGATAAAAAACATGCCCTGGACAGTCTCATCAGTAAGTCACGTCCCTCTTCAGCCCATGAAGAAGTGGGAAGATCCATAGAGAAAGACAGGAAGTGTTTTTTCCCCTTGTTCCTCCTGGAAGGGGAATGAAGCAGCCTTCACCTTGCAGTAAAGACTCATCCTGAGTAGCTGACAGAAGCACAAAAGAGATAGAGGCTTTGTACAGCTTTCCTCAGCTAGCAAGCTGGGAAACAGGTAACTAACTTGTTTCCAATTTCTAGGGCGACATTTTTAACCCTCTAACCTAGAATCTTCCTCTGACAAGTTGAATTGAGAGCAAGGAGAGAGATAAGAGTAAATAAAAAGCTAAGGAGAATAAACACAGGAACAGGAAGAAAAAAGGGAGATTAGCAACAGAGAAATAATGGCAAGGCCTTCCTCCATCTTGGCTTCCCAGCTACCTCCGCTAATGGCATCTACTTTGGTTTGGTGATGAAGAGGTTTGTGAAGGACAAGCTCTGAGCCCTTCCTCACCAATACCTACAGTCCCTGCCTGACAGGCCCTGACCTTCCCAAAGTCCTAGAGATGACCCCTGCCCTACACCTGGATTCAGATGCAAGCCATACAGAGCAGAAGAAAGGGTGCAGTTGGTGTTGGTGAGCTCCGTGGGGAGCTCCAGGCCCAGGAGCGCCAGCACCAGCACCAGCACAGCACCAAGGGGAAGTCTGCAGTGACTGGAGTTGGCAGCCCCAGCAGCATCCTAACCAGGCCACCCCTGTGGTTTGACCTTGGCTGAGGTTCTGGTTCTCAGTGTCTCTCAGTTCCCAACCATCTCTAAGCCTGGTGGTCTAAAAATTCCTTTCCACCCTGTGAGCCACCAGAGTCTGTTTTTCTCCCAGAATTGCTCCTTCCCCTTGCCTTCTTTCTCAGCACCCCAGGGCACAGGCCCTCTGATCCTTTCTGAACCATTCCCTCCTGCCTTGTACCAGGAGCTCCTGTTCCCCAAGACCTTCTCCTCCAAACCCCACACAGCTCTCTGCTACCTCTCCACCATGACACGTTTTATACTTGCCAGCAACTTTAGACAGGGAGTTGTTGGTTTTGTTTGTTTTTTTTTTTTTAAGTGGAAATAGTCCAGGGTTTTTTAAACATCTAGAAATCTTGAAGAATGTTATCATTGAGGCTTATGGGACTACAAATGACAGGAGCAGCAATCATAGTACTAACTGAAATGCATCACCACTTTCTTATATCTATTTATTTATATATTAACAAGTGTTTTGAGTTTTTTTATTGTGAAAATACCGTACAGAGGGCTTACAATAACATGGGCAACGTAACAAGTGTTTTGTTTTGTTTTTTTTAACAATCTCCTGTATGCCAGACACTCTGCCTGGTCCCAGAGAAACATGAAAAGCAACAACAGTGGCAACACAGCCAGTCTGCATGCTAGCAACAATAGAGAAATCACAAATGAGGAAGTTCAGCCCGGGAAATGCAAAGTGACTAAGTGGGAGGAAATGACAGGGTAAGGCCACATCTAACCCTCACTACAGCTGTGATAATCACAGAGACTCTTATATTCATGATTTAGCTAAGGAGGACCAGTGCTCACGTAGGAACAAAGAATTGAGGCTCTGGTCAAAGAGTTCATATAGAAAAAAACTACTTCTGGGTGGACTTCCTTCTTTCTGAATAGGGGTCATCCCAAGCTCTTTTCTTCCATCCTCACCTCTAGCCACTGTTCCAACATTGGCTTGGTTAGCACCTTGGAAAAGGGTTGTCAGATTTACAAGTAAAATTGCAGGATATCTGGTTAAAATGAGCTTCTGATTAACAATGAATTCTTTTTTATTCTAAGTCTTCCCAAATATTTCTCTCCTCAGAAAGGTAAAACAGACTGAGTCATTTCTTGATAGATATTTCAAGGGAAATGCTAATATTAAAAACTTATGCGTTGCCAGGCACTGATGGCTCACACCTGTAATCCTAGCTACTCAGGAAGTTGAAATCTAAGGATCAAGGTACGAAGCCAGCCCTGCAAGAAAGTCCATGAAGAGTTTTATCTCCAGTTAACTATCAGAAAACCAGAAGTAGAGCTGTGGCTCAAGGTGACAGAGCACTAGTCTTGAGCAAAAAGAGCTCAGGGACAGCATGCAGGCCCTGAGTTCAAAAGGAAAAAAATCTTATTGACCTGACATTCAAATTTAACTGGTCATCCTTTATTTTCAGTACCTACCTGAGAACAGTCGAAAGGACCTCAGCCCAAGATGGTAAGGTAAGAGTCATCTGAGGGCTGAACCAAGACATCCTTTTGCCTTCAATCTCAGCTCAGAACATGCATGGGGGGAAAAGACAAAACTTCTTCTTGTCTGTTCAGATATTCACTCTACTGGAAAGTGCTTCCTTGAGCCCAACTTTGGTGCATCATAGCGTATTTCCAGTTCACCTATGTCTCACTCTGTTCTCAGTAAACTGAGGGAGTGTGAGTTTACTTCTTTTTTCTCAGATCTTTTGTGCCTCATGAGACTATGAATATAGTATTCTGTTCTTTCCCCCTCCTTTTCTTCCATGATATGTCTAATCCCACCTCATTCCTAGCTTTTACTCCATTGTATTGCCCTGAAAATTAAGTGGAAAGTCATTCAAATGGGCCGTAGAAAAAAAAAATTTTGTTAGTCATGGGGCTTGAACATCTAGGCCTGGGCGCTGTCCCTGAGCGCTTCAGCTCAAGGTTAGTGCTCTACCACTTGGGCCACAGCACCACTTCTGGTTTCCTGGTGGTTTATTGGAGATATGAGTCTCATGGACTTTCCTGCCACAGCTGGCTTTGAACTGAGATCCTCGGATCTCAGCCTCCTGAGTAGCTAGGATTACAGGCGTAAGCCACCAGCGCCCAGCAGACAATAAAATTTCTTAAGGAAGAAAATTGTCAGAATGGTTCAATTACATTTTATTTCAGTCCAACAACTTCTAGAATTTTGTGTTAGAGAAACCATAAGGCAAATATACAAAGTTATAATTGTACACCATCTGTCTCAGCAATATTTGTGAAGAAAAAATATTAATCCTAAATATGAAAATTGCATTAAATTGTAGCGTATCCATAAAAGCACAGTACTACATGGATGTTAAAATCGTGCTCTAACAGTCTCCTGCAATGGTACAGTGTTAAAATACAGTTCAAAATATAGAAAATAACTTTTACAAAGCAATCAGTCCACAAAAATCTCATTGTTAATTTTTAAATATTATAAATAAGATATATAGATATATAGAATGTGTGCGTGTGTTTGTGTGTGTGTGTGTGTGTGTGTGTGTGTGTATACAGAGAGAGAGAAAAAACAATATATGTTGTAGTGATTTCCCAAGGACTTTAACACCAAAACATGAAAAGTTATTTTCTTTTCTTTTGGGTGCAAAATTCACTATAATTACCAGTGTTAGTTTTGCAAGCTGGGAAAGAAAATCAATACTATTTTTCATTAATCTTTATTTGCATATATCAATTGTACAAAAGTAATGGGTTTACTATGACTTCTTCAAACATGTGTATTATGTTTAACCATATTTGCATCTCCATTACCCTCTTGTGTCTCTCCTCTCCCCTCCCAAAGGACTCATTCCTCTCTCCAGTCTCCCTTCTATTTTGTTAACTATTTTAATCTAGGTTCTTCATAAAAATAAAATCTCTTTAAAAGTCCTTATCTCTTGTGCATGGAGAGTGGTTTTTCCACCCATATCATTCTTTCCTGTGGCATAAAGCTGAGAAACACTTCATGAACTAGCAAGCCCTTGATACCCAACAAAAGCTAATGCGCTGCTTAACTGTTGCCTACAAATCAAAGTGGACGCTCATTAGAAATAATGGACAGTTGGTTGCAAGAAACCCAAGTACTGTTGTAAAGGCCTTAGTCCACATTAGTCCTTTGATCCTAGGAGCAGATGAGAAAATGGAAAGCAGTCCATCAAGGGAAAGAGGGAAGAAGCTGAGAAAGAATACCAACATCTCATGGAGACAAGTAACTAGACAGAAGCCTCCTGACCTAAAGCAACACCAAGCAGGAATGACACCTGAATGCCCAAAGCCAAACCAATGAATGACTCCCTGCCCATACTTCCTCCTGTCACTGAAGGCACAGACCAGACATCACACCTGGAGTAAAGGAGCTTAGGTTGAAGCAGAAGTGGCTGGCATCAGAGAAAGGTTTGTAAGAGGGAGTCACTGGGAGAAGGGAAAGCACGAGGATCTCAAGAACTATAGCCCCAGGAAGTCCTGGGGGCCTCAGCAAAGACCAGGAACTGAGAGATCCTCACACCAGGTCAGCAGAGTTTCCTTCCTCCACCAACCTCCCTGGGCTGTGAGTTGGCTCAGCAATGCTCTCGGGATGAAGCTGGGTCAAGGTCACATGCACAGCCCTCAGAAGCAGAGCTCTACAAACATTTCTGGATCTTGTGCTCTCTCACTGGGCAGGACGAGGAACTCTACATGACACCACTGCACAGCAGGCCAGGTTCCTGTGAAATGTGCTCAGTACAGCTCCTCCTTCCTCCTTGAAAATGTCCAGGGATCCAGGCCTGAGCTCCAAGACCTCAGGAAGGGGTGGGGATCAAGAACAACAAAGGTACTTCTTCATGACCCTCCTCATGGCTCCTGTGACCTCCTTGTTCCTCAGGGAGTAGACAAAAGGGTTGCACATGGGGGTGACAACTGTATAGAACAGAGCAAGAACCTGGTCTGTGTCCCGAGAGGAGCTTGCCTGAGGCTTCATGTATGCAACTGTCGCAGTCCCATAAAACAGGATGACCACAAAGAGATGGGAGGAGCAGGTAGAGAAGATCTTTCTCCGCCCCTGGGCTGTTGAGACTCCAAGGATGGTTGCAAGAATGCAGACATAAGAGGCCATGATCAGCAAGAAGGGGGTCAGGATAAAAGCTATGGTGTTTCCAAGAATGCCTACTTCCCCCCAAAAGATGCTTGCACTAGCCAGTTTCAGCACCGGCAGAATGTCACATAGAAAGTGGTGGATGATGTTGTCACCTTGGAAGGGCAAGGTGAAGATGAGGAGGGAGTGAGAGGTGCCAGTAATGACACCCATGAGGTAGGAGGCACCCACCATACCCACACATGCACCCCGGTTCATCAGGGTGGCGTAATGCAGAGGCCGGCAGATGGCCGCATAGCGGTCATAGGCCATGGCAGCCAGCAGGCAACATTCAGCGATGCCAAAGAGGGCGAAGAAGTAGAGCTGGGTGAAGCAGCTGGCAAGCGGGATGGTGGGGCGGGAGGACAGGAGGTCCCTCAGCATCCGGGGCACAATGGTGGTGGTGTAGAGGATCTCGGCCAGGGAGAAGTGGCCCAGGAAGAAGTACATGGGGGAGTGCAGGGCAGAGTCTGCCAGCGTGAGGAAGATGATCAGAGAGTTCCCCAGCAGGGTGACCATGTACATGCAGAGAACACCCCAAAACAGAGGGCCCCGCAGGGAGCCAAACTCTGAGAACCCTAACAGAACAAATTCAGTTACTGCTGTGCCATTGTCCACCCCCATGTCCCCTGAGTGGAGGGAGGAGGCAGAGGGGGCGTCCTGCAGCAGCGGGAGGCAGCTGGGGGAAGACAGGGGCTACAGCAGGAAAGATGTGGGCAAGCACAAGGTACATCCCAGCTCTCAGAGGAAGAGGGTGGATGCCACCCAGAAACCGGCTCAGGGCAGAAGGAAGCAAAATCCAGGGAGCTGAAGGACCGTGGCAGACATTCCTGAGGGCTGGGGACTTGATAGACAGCAGGGTGGTTTGTTCCACTCACCCAGGTTCCATCATTTAGAGGCAAAGATCTGGCAATGGGGGTGGCTCCCCTTGAGAAAGCAGTGAAGACAAGCGGGGGAACCGACAGGATAATCATGCATCGATAGAAATGGATGGAGGCTGGAGCAGAGGGTGAGTGGAGAAGAGCAAAAGCAAGAGAGGAAAATAGGAGACGCAGGCTCGAAGGTCTGAGCTGGAAGGCCTGTGGGCTTTTACCTGCAAAGGGGTCCCCAGGGCCTCAGAGCACCCCTCCCAGCAGCTCCTCACAGCAGCTCCATTCCCCCTTGAGTCTGATTCCCAGCAGTGGGTAGGGAGCGGACCAGCATCCCCCAGTGGCTGCCATCGGCACAATGTTCTCTCAGAATCTCCCAGCCTTCTTCCTACCACCCGGAAAGCATTTTTCAAAGCCCTTTGAAGAGGTGGTCGTAATCCTCATAGTGAACAACTGTCCAAATAGTGACAGGTCTGACGTTGGAAACTTCCAACCCAACCTAGGAGTTTATCTCAACCTACCACAGCTGCTGACAGAAGATGCACCTTCCTCTGACCTTCACAAACAGGAAGCAATCTTGTAGACCTTAGCTGGGAAGATGGTGTCCTCAGCCACAGGGGATCACAGAGGGGACCCAGGAAGACGGCCCAGGTGCTAATGTTCAGTGAATAATTGCCCATGAACGACTGGAAGTCCTTTGAATTGTGTGTTTCACTTAAATGAGAAAGAATTTTCTTCATTGCCATAGGTTCATGTCCACTGGCGCGGACTAGGGAGGTAGTCCAATTCAAGGCTATCTGTTTTGTTTGGGTTGTTTTCTTTTTCAGATTGTGAAAGTTTATTAGGAATTCTAAATCATTTCCAGAAGCTGGTGGTGTGTGCCTATAATCCTAGCTACTCCAGAGCCTGAGCTCTGAGGATCACAGTTGGAAACCAGCCCAGGCAGAAAAAATCCTAGACTTCTATCTACAAATAATCACCAAAAGTCTAGAAGGAGAGATGTGGCTCAAGTACATGATAGAGTGCCAGCCTTGAATAAATGAGCAAGAGAACCTGAGCTCAAACACCAGTACCAAAAAAGAAAGAAAGAAAGAAAATAAAAGAAGGAAGGAAGGAAGGAAGAGGAAGGAAGGAAGGAAGAGGAAGGAAGGAAGGAGGAAAGAAAGAAAGAAAGAAAGAAAGAAAGAAAGAAAGAAAGAAAGAAAGAAAGAAAGAAAGAAAGAAAGAAAGAAAGAAAGAAAGAAAGGAAGGAAGAAAGAAAGAGAAAGGAAGGGAGGGAGGAAAGAAAGAAACTGTCAAGTCATAAAAATAAGAAAATTCTGAAGAAATAAGGCAAATTTATTCTGATAGATGATAGATAAGTAGCCAGATAAATAGCAAGGTATTAATGATAACAGATTCTAAATGAGATGGAGATGGATTTTGGAATTTTAGTTCTTTTGGTTCATGCATTTTTAATATATTTTAGGTGTATAATATAATAAAGACCATAGCATAACACATTAAAATAAAATGATGGAATTTGGGCTGGGAATGTGGCTTAGTGATAGAGTGCTTACCTAGCAGGCATGAAGCCCTAAGTTTGATTCCTCAGAACCACATTAACAGAAAAAGCCAGAACAGCACTGTGGCTCAAGTGGTAGAGTGCTAGCCATGAGCAAAAGAAGCTCAGGGACAATGCCCAGACCTTGAGTTCAAGCACCAGGACTGGAAAGAAAAGAAGAAATTTATGTTAATAATTTGAATGTCTAATTTATTTTCACCCAATTATGCCTACTTTATATCCTTGGGATTATTTTTTAACTTTATTTTTTAATAATTTTAATGGCTATTTTTTCTTTTAGTAATCTTATGTGATACCAAGAAATCAAACCTAGGGCCTCATGCATGCTAGCCAAACATTTTACCACTAAGTCACTCCTGCCCAAAAGCCAGCATATGGTTGGTTGGTTGGTTGGTTGGTTTTTGCCAGTCCTAGAACTTGAACTCAGGGCCTGGGCACTGTCCCTGAGCTTCTCTTGCTCAAAGCTAACACTCAACCACTTGAGCCACAATGTCACTTCCAGCTTTTTCTGTTTATGTGGTACTGAGGAATGGAACCCAGGACTTCATGCATACTAGGCAAGCACTCTACCACTAAGCTACATTCCTACATTCCCAGCCCAGAACTATTTTATCAATAGTTTGGTTTTGTAATTTTGTCAACAGTCTATGTTTTGTTTTGTTCTGTTCTGTTTTACTGAGAGCCTTGCATGTTTTCCCAGCCAGCTTGCTCACAGCTGGTGCCCTGTCATGTCAGCAATGCCTCCAGCCCAAATAGCCAATGTTTCTAATTGGCACTGTACTATTCCAAATGCATGCCTGACAGAAAGGCTACAAAGAGAACAATGTTGTTTCCAGCTTATGATGTCCAACATTTCTGTAATTTCCAATTAAAATGAGTTAAAAATATAAACAGGTGGGGTAGATTATGAAAATAGGCCCAAAATGGAAGTGTTTTAGTTTTCATTTGTGGGTTATTGGTGTTTTTCCCTAATTTAAAAAAACAAAAAACAAGCACTGGTGACTCTTACCTGTAATCCTAGCTACTCTAGAGGCTGAGAGCTGAGGATTGCAGTTGAAAGACAGCCCAGACAGGAAAATCTGTTGGACTTACCTTCAATTAACCACAGAGAAGCTGGAAGTGGAGCTGTGACTCAAGAGGCAGATCATCAGCCTTCATCAGAAAAGGGAAAGGACAGCACTTGGACCCTGAGTTCAAGTCCCAGTAGTGGCACGCACACACACACACATACACACACACACAACTGCACAATTATGAAGGAGATGAAGGAGTACAATTCTAGAATTGGTGCAAATGGGCTCATATCGCCCTCGTGTGGTAATCTCTGACTAGCCACTCTGAGCATCGCCCCTTTCTCCCTGAGCTCTGTCTGGGATGTAGAGAAAAGCACACTTGAATATCAATTTGTCCAAACTCTTCAGTCTGCACAGGGGAAATTTGCACTTTTTTTAGGTTCTACTATGAACCAGACAATGTTAATGTTTTTTCTATTGTGGATTTTTATTTTCGACCCAGAAATTCACTTTAATTGACATATGTCGACTTAAGTTTCTCAATGAAGGGAGGAAAAATCTACAAAACAACATCAGGCAATGAATGCGTGGCAGAGCTAAGACTGGTAATAATATAAACCATGTATGTTAGCCATGCTGCATAAATCACTTCACTCAGTGAGGTTTAAATAATCCACTGGATAAATCAGAGGCGAAGCATCTTGTCCGGGTTCACACAACCCGACAGCAGTCTAGCCTAAATTCAAACTAAGTCCATCTTCCCCCAACACCAGTGTTACTGAATGCCACAAATTCCATCCACCCCCAAATGTGTCTGTAATGCTTCTGCATTTAGAGCACAGAAAGATATCTGCTCTCAATCCATCTCTTTGCAGGAGAGGAAACAAAGGTGGATGGGGGGAAATGTTTATTACAGGCACCAAGGGGTCAAGGATGGGGCTAGAACCCATGTCTTCAGGCTCCTGGTCTAACATTCTCTATAGGCCTTCTCTCTTTCCTACCTATTCCTTGGCTGCAACTCTGTGTGTGTGTGTCCCTTGTGTGTGCACATCTGTCAACATATTTCTATCAGCATACATGTGTGGACTCATGTGTGTGTCCTTGTGTGCTAAGACAAATCTACCCAAAGAAAGAATAACCAGAAAACCCCCACATCAATCCCTACCAGCTTCTCCAATCAGCACCTGACCCATCACAGAGCTTGAGGTGAGAGTCAGGGATGGGCAATTATGGGAAGGGAAGGGCCACTGATTGATGGTCTAGGGCACCACACTGCAGCTCTATAGGCTAAAGGATGCTCCCTGCCATCCAGAGTACAAGGCTCAGAGGGCCACATGATGCCACCAGGGTATCAGACATCACACAAATAAGCCAAGTTCAAGCCACAGACCCCGCCTTTCCCAGGACAGAAGTGTCTTCCACACTCCTACCTCAGCTGAGCAGACACACTAAGGAAGAAGCAAGGAAGGTGTAAGACGTATCACAGACAGAAGGGAAAGGATGGCCAGAGACAACGGGACTTCCCTGATGTTCCCAAGGAGCCAACATACCAATAGCCAAATGGCAGTGAGCTCCTACAAGAGAGCTAAGGGCTAGATCTGAGCTAGCCCAGGACAGAGAGTGCAGGTGCTGTGAAAAGGGTTACCCATATCCAAATGGGATATGTCCCTACAGACACACTGTGCGGGGGGGCGGGGGGGGGAAGGGGGCAAGGGGTGCTGCAGTATCTTGGGTGTGCTTTGGTAGAAGGATGTAGAAAGATGAACTATAGAGTCATGGAAAATGAGAGAAAGCGAATCTAGGACTTCTGGCCAACAAAGGTTAGAGGAGGAAACTGGCTTCCAGTTTTGGCTGAACACATTGAGATGCACTCAAGAAACAGAGACCTTTTCCCTTGAGACCATGAAACAACACATAAGCTTGGGAAAGCCTTTTACCCTGAGTCCCAGACCTTCTGGCTTCTCCTGGGCTGAGCTTTGTTTGTTTGTTTTGTTTTTGTGCCAATACTGGGCACTGTCTTTTCGTTTTTTCACTCAAGGCTGGTGCTCTACCACATGAGCCACAGCTCCACTTCCAGCTTTTTATGCTGGCCAATTAGAGATCAGAGTCTCATGAACTTTTGTCTGCTTGAGTGGGCTTTGAACCACAATCCTCAGACCTCAGCCTCCCGAAGCCTCC